AATTTAAGTACCATGTATATGAAGTAGAAACTCTTTTTCTTCTTTGTCTTATTAACAGTTCATATTAAGGTCTTATAACATGTTCCTCAGGAAATTTGCCTAAAGAAAATCATTAGATGAAAAATTCTTCAATTAGACAGAACCATTATAATAGTATAATGAGTTAACAATTTAATGCTATTTTATCCTTTGACGATTTCTCATTTTCATAAGGATACATATGATGGGGGGTTTAATTTTTATTGTAATCTGGGTGAAAATTGAAGTGGGAATTCTTATAAATAAAATTTTTATTCCTATAAATACAAAAGATACTAAGAAGGAGAAACCAGGAACTTAGTTCTTGTAGAATTTGATGACTATAGAGTAAGGGGGGAAAGAAGTAAGAATCTGTGAGAGAAAACTCTTCATATGAACTTGATACTGAAAAGAATACCTACTTTCTCTTTACATTCCGTAGTACAAAAATCAGTTAAACTCATAATCATAAAGAAAACCATTATAAATTCTACCAAGCAGAGTTTCTCTAGGTTACATTTTCTGGCTATGATGTAACCAAACTAGAAATCCAACAATTGAAACACAGCCAAAAATAACCTGGCCATATGGAAATTTTAATACACTTTTCTAAACTACCCTTCAAAGTACTTTACTCTTGGGTTAAAGGGAAAAAAGTGAAAGGTAAATAGTGTATTATCTAAAGGTAAACAATTATAAAGAAAGTTATTTTAAATCTGTAAATGGGACTAATTTAACATTCAAAGGACAATTAATAGCATTACGTAGTTATTAATAAAGTAAACAGACTGAGCTTTAACTGAAAAACAAAATCAACCAGAGATAAAAACCAAGAAAATAGGAAAGGAAATTTCTTAAAGATAAAAGGAGAAATCAACAATGTAAAGAGCTTAATTAAAATTAAAAGCTTAATCCTCCCAAAATCCAGTTTTTAAAATCAACAAATAATATCGCTAATACAAAACTAATTTAAGTAGAAAACGAAAAAGTGTACATTGTTGTTGTTATGTGCCTTTTAGCCATGAAAACCTATTAGAATAAAACAATTTTAAGAAATACTACGTAAAGCGCAGCAAAGGAAGACCCTGAATGAACTAAATTGAATTAGTGACTGGAGTAATGGGGATAGATGTGTCAGAGACAGTAAGATTGACTAAAGATAGAGCAGAGTTCAGAGCTGTTGTACAGAGGGTTGCTGTTAAGTCCCAAGTAACTCAACGACACATAACAAAAACAACATGTACAGTTTAAGCTAGTACATTTTGAAATCTAAGTAAGAATTTTCCTACAAAAAAAAAATCCTTGATCATTACTAAAATGAAGCCCAAAAATGTTGAAATCTAAGCAGACCAGTTAGCAAAAAGAAATTTCTAAAGTTATTAAAGATACACAGCATAGAAAGAGCAAAATGTTTTTTACAAATACATTGTTTAACCTTCAAGGGCACTGATTATTTTTAGGCTGTATATAGTCATCCAAAATATAGGAAAAGGGTAAGAAATTTGTTTATTTCTAATAACAAAACATGAAAAATTCACCCAAGAAAATATCAGTTATCTTAGTGAATAATAGTGATAAGTATTAATAATAATGAGTACCCTAAATAATATTGTAAACAAACATTAAAATACAGAATCCAGGAGTGTATTAAAATAATAATATATCATTATTAGGAATTATTTGTTCTAAGAAAACAAACATTGTGTCATGTTAGGAAATTTATTTAAAATAATATGTAATAAAGTACAGAAAACTGTAATATACCAGCTATCAGACGTTTTTACAAGCATTAAATGAAAATTTACTTTTCATTTTGTGCAGTAACTAAATTTTTAAAGATATTAGAAAGGAACTTCCTAAATATATCAGTATTACTAATATTGTATGAGCCTAGAGTTTCTAATTGGGATGAGAAGATAAATGTCTTCCCCCGATTGTCTGGTGTGGAACTTCATGGACAGTTTGCACCTGCAGTTTTGTTTACAGTGTGTCAGAGAAGCAGGAGTATGTTCCTACAGCCAGAAATATTTTGAAAGCAGAAATAAATTATGTAGAACTCAAATCAAGAGTGGTCAACCCTCTCTGCTTAACAAAAGTAATACCTTCTTCTTTGGAAATGGCTGGTAATTGAATTTTACACAATTAACCTTTCTAGGAGTGATTGCTTTAGAATCTTTAACTTCATGTTTGTTGAGCCACTATTATTTGCACAGTATTGTGCTCGGCATTTTATAGATAGAAACATGGATAGGATAAGGCCAGGTGCATCTTAGCAGAATATATATACACACACACACACACAGAGATGTATAACATACAAATTAACCATTTTATGAACTATGTGAAAAAATATGATTTCCAAGTAAAAGTGGGTTCAGGGAAATGATGGTATCAGAGTTGAGGTTCATTGAATATATAGAATTTCCACAAAAAAAGAGTTTCCAAACTAAGAACAGTGTGAACAAAAACTTGGTGGCAAGAGCTATAGCATGTTTGTATATTGCAGGATGTTTATCAATAGACAAGTGTCAGAATTAAATGAAGGAACAAAAAAAAATTTAAGAAAAGGAGCAACATCCAAGGGTTCCCTGCCCATGGAAAACTAATTTATTGAGGATAAGATAAAACCTGGACATCCATATTTTTCCTAAAATCCCCTTGGATGATCTTGATGTATACTTGGGATTGAAAACCTTTGGTGTAATCAAATGCGTGATTGATGAGTTACAGCAGTACTATGGGAGATTAAAACTCTGGTAGTGTAGTGATATAATGTATTATATATAGTGACCGTTCTCTAACTGAAAGGTCATTGGTTTTAATCTACAAGGTAATCCTCAGGAGAAAGGTAGACAGTCTGCTTCTGTAAAGATTTACAGTGTCAGAAACCTAATGGAGGGTCACGATGAGTCAGAATCAACTCGGTGGTAATGAGTGAGTGGGAAATAATACTGGAAAGAGAGATTGAAGCCAGATGGTAACCAGAGGAATATTGTCTGAGCAGAGCAGATTTGCTTGTTTCCTTTTTAATTTCTATTATATTACCATCATCCTTTCTTTAGATAACTCAGCACAAGTCATTGCTGTCGAGTCAGAACTGACCCACAGCTGACCCCCCAGCAAGTCTTCAGATGCTGTTAATCACATGGGAGGAACCATTGGTGGGTTCAGGCTGTCTGAACTGACCCATAGCTAACCTTCCAGCAAGTCTTCAGAGGCTGTAAATCACACACACAAAAAAAACACCCAGTGGTGGATTCACTGTCTACCTTTGGTTTGGCTGTCCAACACCCTATCCACTAGGCCATCAAAACTCCCTGTGCATTAGGTAGCAACTTGAAATCACTTAAATATAACCTTAAACCTTTGTGAACTAAAAACAAAATATTTTTAGATGAAGTGGGAAGAGCATCTTAGCTGTTGGCTATCAAGAATCTTGTTCCAGTTAGATATTCCTGTATAACAGCCACAAGACTTAGAACAGTGAGCATTTTGTTATCATCCACAATTGTATCAGATGACTGAACTCAGCTATGTGCTGCTTCTGCCCTATGTTATGTTGGCTGGGGCCACAATTACCTGGAGATAACTTTAGCTCAGATAGTTGAGACGGCTCACTTGAAACTGGGCTTCTCACAGCTTGGCTGCTGGGTGTCTCACAGCATGGTCATTGGGTTCTATGAGGAAGCATCTTAAGAACAAGCATTCAGAAAGATCCAGACTCCAAAGCTCCATTTGGCCTAACTTTGGTAGTCCCAGACATTCCACCATAGTCACTAAACAGGCCAGTCCCTTAGGCCAACTCAGATCAGAGGGAAGGTGAATTAGACTCCATCACGTGATGGAGGAGCAGAAGCAGCAAATGTATAAGACAAGAAGAAATTGATGACAGTCAGGTTTTGGAGACTTGTTACCACCATCTTTATGCACCAAATCGTGTAGCTTTTAATCCACCAGTTAATCTAAGGGAGAAAGATGAACAATCTGCTCTCACATAAGTTACAGCCTCTGAAGGATCAGCAGTGAGTTGATTCCAAGTTGACAGCATTCAGTTGAGTTGTTTAAGAGAAATAAGCAAAATAAAAAGTAATAATAAAAAACATCTGTATGATATAAAATGCTTATATATTAAACTCCTTGTCTGACCATAAGTAATATATCTTTATTTCAGACATTCATAGACTATCTGCTCCCCTTTCAAAAAAAGCACTTGAGTCCCCATTTGCACTTACAGAAGCCCTAAAGCTTATTACATTTTCCTGATCTCTCAACCTGACAGAAATAATACTAGATTTGTTTATTTCATGCCTTACTGTGCAGAGTTCAGCATTAAATGAGTTCTTATTTTGGAATTTCTGTCTCTGAATGATTCAACATATGATTTAAAGCATTATGGACTACACTTTCCCTCAAGGTCTTTGTCTATTTTTTTTTTTTTTCAGTTTTCTATAAAGTGTGCTATTAAAGGGGGCTTTATTTTTATTCCTCACGCACAGTCTCTGGATCCGGGCAGTTTTGAGTTGTTTCGGGTGCCCTGTGGACTCCAGGGTCCTCATCCCCCAGTGCTCTAGTTTTCCAACAGGAGTCATTCGTACCACCCATTTTCCATGTAGTATGTTTTTAAATTTAAGGGGAAACTAATAAATTTTTTCTAAAGTTATTTAATGTTAAAACTATTTTTTTTTATTATAAGGGTTTTGTTGGTTGGTTTTTGTTTTTGTTTTAAGTCTTTGCTTGTCTTTCTGAAACTGGTCATTTTGTCCTCCTCCTGGTAAGAGCTGTGAGGAAGTGGGGAAGTGGGATGATGTAATGTTCTGGCCTGTCAGGGATGAGTCCTCTTTACTTACTGCTTCTCTCTCAGTGTGTTCGTATGATTTGTAAGACTCCTTTCCTAACTGGATCAAAGCATTAAACCACCCTAGCTGAGGAGATTGTACAAAAGCCGTCTTCATCAGTGACACTCAGTCTTTTTGCCATTACAGGTTGTCACACTGTGGTACCGAGCTCCAGAAGTCCTGCTTCAGTCCAGCTATGCCACACCCGTAGATCTCTGGAGTGTTGGCTGCATATTTGCGGAAATGTTTCGTCGAAAGTAAGAAATTCCTTTTATTTTTACTTAACTTTTTCTTTACAAGAGACTTGAGATATTCATTTATATACCCACAAAGCACTTCTGTTCCAAGGAGGCTTGAATATCCTGATCCAGCTGGTTAGGCTACCACTTGGAGACACCACTTCAATGACCTTCTTGGTCATTACATTGTAGTTTTATATGACCCTGGCTTTACGCTCTTGGAAACCGTCTGTAATGGAGGACTCAACTCTTCTTACAGTTTAGATCATTTATGTTGATGATAACCGCACGCGGTGAACATGCAGCATATTGTGGTCTTTTTCACAAAAGACTATCCTCAAGATAGACTTTGACCATAAGAGAACTACAATATACTTCATTTCTTTTAAGTACTTGGAAATTTTGATAGTGAGAATAGTTAAAAGGACAGAAAGTTTAGGATGAAAAGGGGTGAGCAAAATGGCATTGCTATTTTTGAATACTTTAAATATTGTCATGTGCAGGAAAAATCGAACATATTTGAGGGGCTATGGAGAGCAAATTTGTTGTTTTTACCTTTATATATTGCCAGGTCAGAACTGACTCATAGCTGACCCCAGCAGGTTTTCAGTGGCAGTCAATCACAAAGGAGGAGATTGTCCATCTTTCTCCCCTTGACCAACTGGTGGATTCGAACTACAGCCCTTGAATTGGTAGCACAGCTCTTTACCACTAAGCCACCTGTGCTCCATAAGAGTTCAAAGTAGGGCCCGTTAAATTAAAAGGTCAGAAGGAGGGGAGCTCTGGTGGCCTACTGGCAAGGAGCTGCAACTACAGTCCCAGAGGTGCATGGTTCGAATCCACCAGATGCTCTGCCGGGGAAGGAGGGACAATCTCCTCCTGTACCAGTCAGATCTGATTTGACGGTACGCTCACACAAAAATAATTTTTAAAAAAAAAAGGTCAGAAGGAAAAATTTTCACTTGAAGTGGAGGAAGAATAACTAGGAGACCATTATCTGACAAGAAGTTTGAGGATCTAGTGAAAATAGTTGTGTGCTTCTCATGTGATGTCCAAGAAGATGTGGTCTGCTAGGTAAAAAGCTACACTGCCAACCCAAAGGCAGGTAGTTCAGTCCAAGAGCATCTCTGTGGAAGATAGATGAGCAGTCATGTTCTGCGTGATTTACAGCTTCCAGAAATTTGCTCGAGGGTCTGCTCTGACTCAACAGCAAATGAGTTGAATTTTGAGCTCTCCTTGGATGTCAGAAAAGAGGCTAGACCACTGATGGAGATTATTTTAGCAGCCTTCATAGGGTTGGTGGATGAACTGGATGACCTCCAGGACCCATTTCACTCTGAGTACCTGTGATTCATTTGTTTGTTTTCCAAGTCAGAAAAGTAGCCAAACAATAAAATAAAGATATGCTAGGACAGTATGCTTGTGTACTAAATTCAGCCTGGTCATAATTAAATCAAGAACCTAATTGTAATCTAGTTTCTATTCCCTCTCTTTTCTTTTTTAATCTCATGGGAAAATGTGAGTTGGAAAACAAAACATAATTTATATCAAACATGATGGGTTCAAAATTAACTGCACAATAGCAAGCTCACAAGGAAGAGAAGTAGTCAATCATTGTTTGCCTTGTTGTTTCTTTTAACAGTATAAAATTTTATGTATGCATAGGTACTAAAATTTGAGAACTCTTTCTTGAATCCAGTTAATTTCACCTGTAGTTTACAGTTCAGGAGTCCAGGAGAGGATCATGGGAAGTATATCATGACACATAGCTGTCTAATGCATGCTTATTGTGTGCCCAGTACAGTGGCAAACCTCATCCTTCTGGTGCCCTATTTCATCTTCACAGTAAGAGGAAACAGATGGAATGGCAGAATTATTTGTACCCTCGTGGTACATCATTTAAGTGCTTAGCTGCTAACTAAAAGGTTGATGGTTCAAAACTACTCAGGGAAAGAAAGATTTGACAACCTGACTCCAATAAAGATTGCACCCAAGAAAACCACACAGGGTCTTGCTTCTCTGTCACTTGTCACTAACAGCCCAGATCAATTCAAGAGCACCTGACAAGAAGTCCAGGCAGCTAATAAGTTGCAGGAGTGTCATTTTAAAAATAAAGCATTGTGAGTCCACATCCAGTGTTGCTCTCGAAAGGGGGAGTATTCAGTTCAGCTGTCATATTTGCCAAACAGGCTAAAATAAGTGTGAGAAGGGCAGCATCAACCTGACCTGGTAATGTGAATTATCAGACCCCATCCTAGACACCTCGAGTGTGAGAGCCACCACCAAGCTCGCTCGACTTGAATGATGCTGGATTCTTTGTTGGGCCACATGTTGCATTGTCCAAGTGAGAAATCACAAGCCATGGATTCTGAAACAATGACTGGCATAATCAAGGAATTACACTGCTAACTCAGAGGCATTGCCTCTATGACAGTTCAAACCCACCAGCAGCCCCAAGGAAGAGATGGACAATCTCCTCCCATGCCATTTTCAGCCTCTCAAAACCCTGCTGGAGTATCAGCTCTGAGTTGGTTCCAGTTCAGTGGCAGTGAGTTTGAGTTTTTTAATCTGCATCAGTGGATCCTGGAATGTGTTCACTGTAAGTTCTTTCTTTTTTTAAGACAGTTATTTCTAGATTTTACCATCATTTATTAAAATTATTGTTTAAAAAAAAATTACTGTGTTTCCCATTACCTTACACTAGCTTATACTTAGTTTTTAAACTTCATAAATCCATTTACTTTTTTAATTTAGCTTTATTCTGAGCAAAGATACATAAATAATAAATCTTAAAAAAACATTTATTTGTATAGTAAAAATTACTTGTAAATTAATGTAAATGTGTGTGTGTGTGTGTACAAATATATACAGCTTAATACCTGTGCAATCTGTGTCTGTGAAATAAAACTTTGTGCAGTTGAATTTTACATAATATGGTTTAACCACCATATTATGCACACACAGTCTCCACAATTCATAGTTAAATCCCCATAAAGCCTATCATATTAAAACCTTATGGGAGCCCAGTAGACAGAACCTGAGAGCCATGTCCATGTTCACTGGATACAGGAGACCAGCTTTGCCAGGTATGTAACTGAGCACCAAGTACAGTTGCATTGACAGCCACATCATGACTTTGCCTGAGTCCAGTTCCAGAGCAAGGGTTAGGGTACATACAGTGGCCTGAGGAGAATGATTACAGGACAGAAGCTATGGCTGCTGGGTAAAGGTTGGCATTGCTATCCCTGATCACTATTGCCTTGTTGATATGGCCATTTCCTGATTATGTGTAGCTGCCCTTCACTTAGTTAAAAGCTACAGGGCTGCTGGGTGGGTGAATAAAGCTGGAAGGAGGAGGTGAAGGGAAAGGTGATGCAAGGATTGGGATGCATCCGTGCAAAAGGAGCAGTGGCAACATGAAAGTATCCAAGGCTGACTTCTCCCTTCATAAAAGGGGCTCTTTCTCCACCAGTAATATTTTTAGCACCATACAAATGGCTACATAGCAGGGAGGTCTGGTTGCCTTCCACCACATGCTCTGGTGGAGAAGGAGGGGAAATCTCTTCTCGTACCAGTCAGATCCAATTTGACAGGACACACACACAAAATAATAAATTTTTTTAAAAAAATAACTGCAAAAAAAAAAATTGCTGCATAGTCAGATATGCCACCCAACCTGTTCCTATTTTTACCAATTTTTGGTTCTGATGTTTCTTGCAAGACTCACAGACTTTACTCACTCACATGTGGAGTTTATTAAGGAAATAGGTTGAAGAGTGGGAGGGGAAAACAATATCTCACAGTGCAAGCCCAGGGTTAGTTCAGTAGTCCCAAACCAGATTAACAAAGCATAATTCTTCAGTTATTAAAAGTCTGTGTAGATTCAGCAGCACAAATGTAAGAAGCCTCTTCCTCAGTCATCCAGTAAACTATCTCAGAGCAGTTTTAAGTCATGTTTTCCTTCAGTCTTCCAGTGAGCAAAACCTCTAAGTGTTGCCTTTATCTCCAGGTTTCCTCTGATTATGCCCTGCCGCAGTCTATTCACAACAGTGCACAATCTCTCCACCACCATCACTGTTGTTTCTCACAATGTGAAAAGCACTCTCTTGTGTTGGTCCTATGGATCTTGATGATTTGCAAGACCATGTGTCCACAATTAAGGTAGCTGGAAACCATGCCTCCCAGTGGGGGTTAAAACAGTGGCTACAAAAGTGAACTTTCCCACAACAAAATAAAGGTAAATAATCCAGTTGAAAAACGGGCACAGGATATGAACAGATACTTCACCAAAAAAGACATTCAGATGGCCAACAAGCACATGAAGAAATGTTCAAAATCCCTAACTCTAAGAGAGATGCAAATCAAAACAATTATGAGATATCATCCCACCCCAGTCAGAATAGCAAAATTTAACAGAACAGCAAGCACCAAATGCTGGCGAGGTTGTGGAGAAACTGGAACCTTTATTCACTGTTGGTGGGAATGTAAAATGGTGCAACCACTGTGGAAGGCTGTATGGTGCTTTCTCAAAAAGTTGCAAGTAGAGATACCATTTGACCTAGCAATTCAACTACTGTGAATATATCCCAAAGAGACCATAACTGACATCCAAGCAGATATATGCACACCCATGTTTATCGCGGCTCTGTTCACAATAGCAAGGAGTTGGAAACAACCCAGGTGCCCATCACCAAACTAATGGATAGAGAAACTGTGGTATATTCACACAATGGAATACTACACTGCATTGAAAAACAAGGAACTCACGCAATATTATTAAAAATGGGTGAGCCTGGAGGACACTATGCTGAGTGAAATAACTCAGTCGCAAAAGGACAAATATCGCATGGTGCCACTGATGTAAAATGGGACTGATATCAGGGTTGGGGTAAGACTGAGAAAAACTGCAAAATTTGTTTCTACTGCACTGAAACAGATGAGGGAGTGAATAATTTAAAAGTGATGTATGATAGGGTATTATGGTTATCACAAGAGTCCACAATTAAGGTGGCATAGTA